TATTCAATTTATATTTCGTTGTATTTTGCCATGTTTTCAATATCCTACCACCCACAAGAACCAGTTATACAGCTCTTTAGATACTGACTCTTACATTTCAAAGAGGTGAACAAAAAAGTTACCAGTAAGTGTGTGCATCTACAGGCTTTTCATTTAATTTCCTTAAAATATCATAAGATCAATTCTCCTAGATCAGATCAGAGGCCTATATCTAGTCCAACATCCTGCTTTACACGCTGGTCAACCGTATGTTTATGGGAAACCCACAAGCCAATACATGAATGCAGCAGCACTCTCCCATTGGGGAAGGTCCATGGGTTAGTAGTAAAGCACACATTTCGCATGCAGAAGGTACCTAGGTTCATTCCACAGTATCTCCAAGTAGGGCTGTGAAAAACTTCCTGACTGAAACCCTGGAGAGTCACTGTCAGTCAGTGTCAACAGTAGTGAGCTAGATGGGACAATGGTCTGACCAGGGGAGATACCTATGCTGCAGCTGTGGTTCCCAACCATTTATTATTCAGAGGTCTGCTGTCTCTGATCCTGGAGACAGAATAAGACATCACAACTAGTCATGGGTATAGCCAAGAGTGGGGGGAGTGGCATCTGCCCCCCAGGTCAAGTAAAACAATAGAAATACTTAACCAACTGACCAATCACATCAGTCCTCCCCCCCTAACAAAAATCCTAGCCAAGCCCCTTGCAACTAGTAGTGATTGATAGGCAGAATATCTCTTGAGGAAAAGGGTCTTTTGTGTGAAGTAATTGACTAAAGTGAAGGCACAAACCATAAACCATGCAGGTTAAGTTTGTAACAGTCTGACTAATCTAAGTAAATCTTCAGGAGGCACGACTGCGAATCATAACCTATAATATACTCACAGTCATACTGGGTAGGGCAATTATAACACATATTATGGGTTTTCTTAATATAAAAAACAATCTTTCATATTCCATTTCTATCCAATTCTCATACCTTTCCATTAAGCACATATTTCACTTTAATCTTTACCCCCAAGAGCCATTACATATTAGACTGCATATGGCAGCTATTAACCTGAACTGAAGTTCTTCAACTCGAAATGTGACTACATTGCTCCTTCTAATTTAGGAGAATTTGCAAACGTGGAAGCCTATCTTTCAGTACCACAAGCCTAACACCATAAAGAAGACAAAAGCTTTCCCTATGCAACTTTAGCAGCATCTTCCCTTTCTATCTAAAAAGGATTTATTGATCCTGTTTTAAGTCACTAAGCTTCCTTTTTAGGTGTGATATATACCTTTTTAAAGTCTCCCCGGATTTCTACATTTTACACATTAACCAGGATGTCTATATTTAAAACTCTCAGTCCTTCTATCTGAACCTTCAATTTTTGAGTCAGAATACATTAAGAAGTATCTCAGTCAGCTAGCCCAGATATCTTAGCTGGGAAGGACATCTGCAAGGCACAGCAGCGAGTCAGAGTAATCAACAGAAATCATGTCAGAACAGACAAGAGTCAACCCAAGAGGTTATTTCACAGAAACCACGTGACTGCTGGCAAAGCAGGAACAGAAAATGGGACGGGTGTCATGGCTAGAGCCCAAGAAGAAATAAATAAGGCCATAAGAATGCTGAATACAATAGTCTGTTATCCAACACTGCAGTTCTGATGGCAAAAGGGACTTCCAAATACCTCAAGGACTGCTTCTTACCATATGAACTGACCCTCACCCTGCGATCATCATCTGAGGCCCTTCTTTATGTGCTTGCGCCATGAGAGTTCCAGAGGCTGGCAACAGAAGAATGGGCCTTTTCTGTGGTGGCTCCCCATTTGTGGAGTGTTTTTCCCAAGGAGGCTCACCTTTTGTCTCTGTTACAAATCTTTAGGCACCAGGCAAAAACATTCCTGTTCTCCCAGGCCGTTGGCTAATTTAACAATCTGTGGCCTTTTAAACTGTGATGGGGGTTATTGTTTTTGTTTAATAATAATTATTACTATGTAATGTATTCTAGTGATCCCCAAATGAAGGGCAATATAGAAATGGAAGAAATAAATAAAATAAAATATGTGCAATAGAACTTCCTTGCTCTCTCCTATTGTCATGGGCTGGCTCAGTCATATGGGATCCTCATAACAGAGGGGCCTGGTTGTGCGCGGGACCCAAGACCTCACCTGATAGGGTTAAAATGGGTGGAGGAGCAAGAAGTCCTGGCCATTCCCCTGGGATCACACCAGGCGATTTTAGCCAATAGCCAGTGGATGGCGTAATTCCAGGGGCTTTAAAAACAGCAGTGTGATGCAAGGAGGGGCACTTGCTTCGCACTGGTGAACACCCGCCCACCCTCCCTAGTTTAGGCAGAGTCGCTTGGCCTTGCTTTGGTTTGGATTGCCTGTTTTGGAACAGGGGCTTTAGCCATTTGGTTTTTGCCAACCCCTTAGCAAATCATCACAACTTGTAAGGTGGCGGTTAGGCATTGGCTCAGTTGGATTGTGGGGAGGGGAGGTGCGGCCATCACCTGCTCCTCCAGGAACTGGGTATTCTGTTAAAGGAATCTGGGGGTCCTGGATCTTGTTTGAAGTCCGCTTGAAGGGCTAGGGCCATGCCAGGGCCACAGGAACCCCGGGGTGAGCTTAGGTTGGTCCTCATCGACCTAGCTCCCTCGTTTGGTTTACCCCATTTGATGATCACCCTGAGAGGTGGAGCCAGTTATAGTGGGGAGTCAACGCCTAAGCCAATACTGCTCACGTGATTGTACTTCAATAAAGTTGTGGCCAAAACTTTTGCCCAAAAACTTAAACTAATATAAGTGTCCGTGTGTATTTATTTTGGGGGTGGGTCTTGGGGCCTCGAGACGCAACCTGACTTGGACAGCCCATGACACCTGTCTCCTTCATCCTCTCACATGCCCTCATGATTGGCTCCAAGGGGTTGGGGGGACCTCCCCCCCCCCAGAGCAGATTTGGGAAGACGAGAAGACATAGAAGTCCCATTGCACCAGCAGAACCCCACTGGAGTAGGACTGAATAAAACTCAATGAGGCTTACAATGCAATTCTATACATGTCTACTCAGAAATAAATCTCATTTAGTTTAATGGTACTTTTCAGTCTGTATAGGGTTGCAGCCTAAGTGAAAGAGCCATAGCAGAAAGGCCTACTGATGGCCCAGGAGGATGACGACAGAGAGAGCATACAGCAGAATAGCTCAGAACTACACTACTAGTGCTACAGAAGTAGTAGCCCACATAATTAAATATTGTTGTTGTTGTTTAGTCGTGTCCGACTCTTCGTGATCCCATGGACCAGAGCACGCCAGGCACTCCTGTCTTCCACTGCCTCCTGCAGTTTGGCCAAACTCATGCTGGCAGCTTCGAGAACACTATCCAACCATCTCGTCCTCTGTCGTCCCCTTATCCTTGTGCCCTCAATAATTAAATAATTATTAAATAATAATTAAATAGAACAGATTAATTGCTTTCCATATTATATGAAAATAAAGAAAACCATATCCTTTCAGCATTCACAATTGCTTTCCTTGATATTCCACAATTGTGAAATACCTGAATGGCTTCAAGGAAGCAACATTTGCCACAGAATAGATATGCTACTATGGGGGTCACCAACATGGTATTGAAGGGCACATATACCCTTGCATAGGCTTTCTTCCCGTCCGCTTGCTGAAAGTAGGCTTGATAGAAACATTCAGCTATAGCCAATAGATCAGGCTTGGGTTGTGCTTGGCTGCAGTACGTGTTGTAGCGCTGACATTAGTTTCTCCAATATGCCAATACACTCACAGACCACAAAACGTTGTCACCCTTGCACTACTATGCAAAGTTAAGCTGATGTCTGAAACCATACAGCAATACAGTATTGCAACAGGGAGAATGGGTGGGAGTTCCAAATCGAACTTTGGATTTTACCATTCATTCCCCAACATGTGAAAGGAGGTTTTAATGTTCCCAGAGGTAGGGATGAGACTTGATGTCGCTACTGCCTTTAATTCTGTATTCCAGGGGAAAATATTAATACTTTTTAATTTTAGCACAAACACTGCTCAAGATAAGATTAAAAGAGTTCAGTTGAATTTCTGGGAGGGTTTGGGGGTACAGTTCTATATGCTCTACAACTTTGATTTTTAAAAATGCTTTTACTGCATTTCTTGGTTGTACATGACAGAGTTAATCCAAAATGTACCCCACTGGGCAAAATAAAACCATGCTAGATGTTTTTGTATCCCCATTGGCTTTCACTTGATTAAAGGAACTGCTTCATTATAGGAGCAAAGTAGAACAATTCCCTATGGGATCGAAGGACAATTTTCTAAGTGCAGCACCATGCAAGTATAAGAAAGGTACAATACCATTTTCTACATACACAGCCATCAAAATTGGATTTTATTAATATTTTGATGAGATTTAGAATGATTGGCTTATCTAGAAAAGATTCCGAATGCAGGAGACTCCTAATATTTTTTTCCTTTATTTTCCCCAAGGCTAGGGTATAAAGCTTTGAAATTTCTTTCTGCTACCAATGACATATTATTACATTATATCTACAACAGATGTGCTAAACAGACATGAATATCACAAGCAATGATTCAAATTATTAGATTACTTAGGTAATTTGATTGTGTAGGCAGTGGCATCACTAAGATGACATTCAGGTACTTTGGAGTTTCTACTTCATCATGCAGAATTGGGCCTTGGAGCTGTATTTCTCGACACAGGCAGCCTCCATTCGATATGTGTGTGACCGTGTATATGTGAATTGTGCCAAACCTGGAAGGGACCTAGAAACATCACAAAGATGTCACTGAAATGTCACCCAAAGGGCGGGGCAGGGCGGGGCGGGGGCAGAACAGGGTCTTTGCAGCCTTTTTCAATGGGTTTTGATTATACAGGATTGCACCGGCATGCACGGTGCATCAGAACTGCTGACAAAATTCTCAGGTAAATGACTATGTTCTAAAAATACAGAATTAATGGAGCTTCAAGTAAGTTAGCTTTGATCTTACCTTTAAAGCTTTATTTGTGTGCTTGGCACATACATCTGGACAAGGACATAGGATCATATAAGTAACATTTGCCATGATGTTCTGCAAAGCAAAAATGTTAGCTTACTTAGGATTAATTAATTGCTTTGTAAAGACTGCAAGTAACATGAGCATATACCACATTTTAAACATCCTTTAGTAACTAGAGGGGCCCTTCTTATTGTAAGCTATATCTAAATGTAGTACTTTGTGCAGATGTCCACCAATATCCTATAATAGGTAAATACCAGTGTCTTAGAATATTTTGTATTAAGCGCCAGAATTTAGTACAATACAGCCGTACCTTGGAAGTCGAATGGAATGTGTTCCAGAAGTCCGTTCGACTTCCAAAACATTCAGAAATCAAAGCATGGCTTCTGATTGGCTGCTGGAGCTTCCTGCAGCCAATCAGAGCCCTGTTGGACTTCGGCTTCCAAAAGCATGGCTTCTGAATCGGAACAGTTGACTTCCAGGTTTGCGATGTTAGGGAGTCAAAATGTTCGAGTACTAAGCTGTTTGAAAACCAATTAAGGCATTCTGTTATATTCCATAGGCCAGAAAGTTAATTCTCCTTCGAAGCCAACCTCTTATCCTACAATAATTTATTTCTTTGTTTCAGCCAAATACTTAGCCCTCTTAATGATTTCCTTTAAAAAAGTTGTTTAAAATCTTGTGTATATATGTTCCCGTATTAGATATGTATTCTGAATGTAAACAATTGTGTTTCAGCTTTAGAAACTGTCCAAATAGCAAAGTCTCTTTTACATATGTGGGATGTTTATGATTATAATGCAATTATGGCACAAAAGAGACATTGCCCCTAGAGATGGGTTGCTGAAGACTGCTACAGTTATCAGTTGAGAAGAGATCTTCAGTGAATTCAGTCTTTCCTTTGACTGGTAGAGTAAAGACAGTGCTTCAGACAACTTGGTTTATTAAAGCACAGCTGGTAATCACTAAATGTGTGTGTAATTTCATTTTTACATTTTTGTGTTTATACACTACATTGTAAACAACATTGTTACAGAAGATGACACAGCAAATGGGAAGAATGTCATCTAACAAACTGTCCTGAAAGACTAGTGTTCTTCATCGTTCATTCAAACAGACTTCTCATTGTGAGCTTCTCCCCAAAGGATTTAGAAGTTACCATTCATTTGGAGGAACTTGGTGAAATTGACGTTTCACTGGTGATCTCTTGTTGGTACTCTTTGCTATTTAGCAATTTTGTACATGACTGAAAATTTATATTGGTACGGTACAGGTACTATTTGGATATAACAGGGTCCCTTTATTTGTTAAAAAGTTATGAAATAAAAGGGATCCAATAATAAGTTAGGAATATATATTATTACTATAGAAGTAAAAACAGATAAACTCAGATTAGCTATTCATAAATGTATCATGGATGCTTTAGCTGAGATTCCTGCATTGCAGGGCGTTGGACTAGATGACCCTTGGGGGTCCTTCCAGCTCTACAATTCTATGATTCTATGGCTAGGAAACAACTGCTCTGAGATTCAACAGAACTAGGGTAATCCTCCAGAATAGAATGGACCAGCATGTCTCACTGAAATGAAGAGGAAAACAGGATTTGCATTGGCAGTAAAGTTCCATTGTTCTAATAAAACTGTGTCACTTCATATTTCAGTTTTAAACAATAGACATACTTGCTATATTCAGCCAGGGTAATTTAAACACATACTTCAGTTTAAGAATAAATCCAGATACCCCAAAAGACCACCTGTGATTCATGTACTTTAAAAGATGAAAGCTTTCCTAGAATTGAAGACCTTGAATACAAACATACAGTGTTCTTTCTTCCTGGCACTGTTTTTTTTTGAACAAAATATAACACACATGATAATACTGAGGACTTGATTCTAGAGTCTAAACTAGGGGAAGCAATTGAAAGAACATGGCATACTAGAACATCACAATCAGTCCTACTTATGGCTTGATAGCCTTCAGTGGAAGTTAAATATTCAGGGATTGTCCACACCCACCATATAAACCCAACTCATGCACTTCCTACACATTTGGCAGGGTTGATGGCAGGGTTGGTTTAGCTGGCCATTCATCAAGGCCTCTACCCCTACAGGTGAGCACTCTGCCCCTAGTACTGTGGTTTAATACTGCTACGAACTTGCTTGTCTGCCCTTCCCAGAAAGGGCCAGTGGTTGGCGGGTGATGATAAATAGGTGGGAAAGCTGTGGAACCAGATCTTTTCCCCAGGAGTTCTCACCAGGCTGGTGAGAAGAAGCAAACAGCAGCAAAGATAGAGTGACTTGCCTGTACATAACCCTGCTTGAGGCTGTACCTCAAGAACTACAGCAAGCATCAATATGTTCCACCAAGCCTTCTTGGGTCTCTATCCTTCCATGTTTTCTTAAATCCAGTGCCATAATATTTAGAACTAAGTTGTGATGGCAGAATACACAACCCAGTGACATTACTGTGTTTCTTATAGATGGTTATGATTTGCTGAGTGCCATCAAAGCTGTACACCATCAGAACTGCTTCAAAGTTTCCACTCAACTTCATCATCTTCCAAATCTGACCATGAAAGACAAACTTGGCCCCACACTCCAATTCTCACTACTTCACTCCATAGGAGGCATATATGATTTACCCCAGACACAGAATTCTCATATCTCAGTCATGAGAAATTTTTCTTTCCCAATGTCCTCAATGTGTTTCCAAGGTGGAAGCTTCAATGAGGCACTACTGAGTTGCATCGATCTTTCACTCTTCCAAGCACAGCAAGGAAAAAAAACACATAGGCAACTGACCCTATCCTCTGCAACCTTGACAATTTTGTAAGCCTCATACTGTCTGCTAGTGGCAACTGAAATTATGCAGTTGACTCTTACAATCACACATGCCTTTTAATAAGTAATTTATGAGGTGCAGTACTGTGATACAACATAAGCAAATGCCTATCACTTGCATAATGTCCAAGCAGAAACACATGCTGCTACTCTTGAACAAGTAGGTGAAACATCTGTTGAAATGATTTATTACTACTTATATAGAACCTATATCCAGGTATATAATGAGGGGGACAGGTCCCTATACCAAGGCAGTGCAACTTTAAAAATTGGAAAAGGATGAAGTTTAGTTTCACTTCATATTTACCTGCATCTTGCTGAAAACCAGTAGCTGTGTAGGAGCTTAAATATTGTGCTTTCCCTATAGTAATCTGCATATTGTCAAGGGACCAGGATTCAACAAATAACTCTGCCATGGCAAATAAGCCACTACCCTCTAAATGGGATTAACTGTCCTTCCCCTAAACACTAGAGATGCAAAGATGGCTGGAATCATCTGAGCAGCTGTATAGCAATCCCTGCCAACTCCCAGGTTGAGAGGAAGGCTGGGAGGTTGCTAAGCAGGTATATGGTGAAGGCATCATTACTTAACCACACAGGGACAAATCAATAACCCTCCCTCCAATAAAAAGTTAGAGTGGCAGTTGGGGAAGATGCTAAGGGTGCTATCCAGCCAGTCCTCCTTTGGACAGCAATGCCAATAATGCATGCTTACAAAGCCTTTTCCTCAGGCTCCCCCTTTACCCACTTTTCTCTAAGGCAAGACCACAGGCATTGGGTGTTGCTGTACAAAAGTGCTCTATTCACCTTCGCGAAGCAGTGACCAGCCATGCATGATTTGCCCTGTCCAGCCTTTCCCAAGAAATATAGGGAGGAGCACTTAACAACCACAAATTTTGGCTTTGCCAACAAGACCAACCGACAACCATTGACTCCTGCCAAAGATACAGATGCAACACTATCATGATTATTATTTTTATGCACAACCAAACACCTCTGTTTAAGAAACAGATGAAAACTACTGCATTTTCTTTTATCAAATGCAGCATTGTCAAGATGCATTCATAAGATTTTGGGAAGATATTTTTTCTAGTTTGGAAAAATAAGGCTAAAGATCAAAGACTGGAAGTTGCTTTGTTCTATACCGTTAGCGGTGCTTCAGTTCAGACTTGATTGCCATTGCTGTCAACCTTACAGTCATTTCTCCCCAATTCTTCACATTTCAACGTTCCAAAGAGATTTGTCTGCTGTAAAGTGCAAATACACCAACACTCTTTGTTCTCCCCAAAGGACTATGCACCAGTTTCCAGACATTTAAACAAAATGATATTGAAGTGAAGAATCGGAAGCTCTGCTCCAGCTTATTCATGAAGAGATTTCACAGTCTCTGAGAAATGAACTGGAACAATAACACTTGGGCTTCAAATATGGTTATTATCACTTTTTAAAAAGGGTATACAATGACCAAAAAAATAATACAGATGAGGGAGAAAAAACAGCTGTCAAAATCTCTCTAGTTTCACATATTCTGGAAGGGTGTGAATCTGGTCCTCTTATTTAAATTATTTTCTCTTCCTTACAAAGGAACTGACTGAGATATCCATTATCTGAGCAGCAAAACACCATTTCCTTCCTTTCTTTGCTTGAAACAATAATCTCATGTGTGCATACAAATGTACACTACACAGATCACCAAAAGCTTTTCTCCCTGTTGAAACAATTAACTGGAAAATCCCTGATGTTACCAGAGTGCTCTCTCTCCTACTCTCTCTCTCTGTGGACCCATGTCTTACACATCGAAATACTAATTTGGGGGCCTCTCCTGTAGTTGACGTTACTGGACAGCCTAAGATTACTTCAAAATATACCAGTATCATACTGGTCAAACTTCGAGAGTTAGACTATGATCAATAAATGCCAATGCTATTTTACAAGCAATGGGGAATAAGCAAAGGGAATTAACAAGAACTACAGAATTTGTTATTAGTGTAATATATATTTACACCAAATGGCTGACAGGAAATAAAGACAGCTTTGTGACTTGAAGTGTAAGTACAAAAATATGAAAGAAGAAAATGGTTATTTGTTACACATTATAAAGGACACCCACCCCACACTGCCCAGACCATACAGTTAAGCAGTTTGTAAGCAGAGATGTGCCTGATATGCATTTCTGTAACAGGAGGTTAAATAAACCAGGAAGGCTAAAAGTTCACATGCAAATAGTTCAGC